CCAGTTGTCTATGTGAAGGGATTATTATTATTATTTTTGTACAGGTTTAGAAAGATCCCAAATATTCTACCACCAGTCAGAAAAAAAAAGCCAAAATGTTTTTGTCTAGTAATTAATGACGCCCCAGGAGAAGCAACATGCTAATATAAATGCACAAGGAGATGTAAGATCAATAGTAGTGTCTCTCCTGGAATGAATGTGTTGTGTGGAGTGAGGTATTCGAAAGCTCAGTGGTGGGAAAATTCCCTTTCCACATCACTGTGACCAGAGTAAACCTTTCTTGTGCAGTGTAATGAAATCAGGCGAAACCTCTGTGCTGCTCATAACACTTAAAGGGAACTAGCACTCTGGGTAAACTTACTTTAGTTTACTGATTAGTCATTATATATTTTATGGGTTCTGCCATTGATTTGCTTGCCTAACACTTCTAATTAGAGTTCTGTCTCTAATTAAAGATGTTCTTTCTGTTTAGCTCTTTGAACCTTTTACTGTTAAAAAAAAAAAGGATTTGACTTTGGTGGTTTCCAAACTGTGCTCCGTGGAATCCCAGTCTCTCTGGTGGATGAGAGTGGGGTGGGGAGGATGGAGGGATAAGAGAGGAAGAGCCAGAGCCAAGGCCAAGAGATTTCATCCCTTCAAAGCAGATATGTTCCTATATTTCCGATCACACACACACGCGCACACACACACACACACACACACACACACACTCTGGACAGGATGGTCTCTGGGTTCTGCTCTGATATTTATGCAAGTCTGCTTTTCACAGCTTCTGTCTTCAACTCTGAGTAGATGGTTCACGATGAAAGGTCCAGAATCATTGTTTCTAAATAAAGGGTTATGCTAAAATAATGGAAGTATTTTCAGCAATTCCTTCACTTATTGATGCCACCTTTATCAGGGTTTGCCGGGGCATGTCCAGCACAGTATATATAGGGTCAGAGATAAAGATTCTCACTGTTGCTATTACAAGCACAACATCCTGCTCTTATGTGATCACTAAATTAACAACGGAATGAATTGAAGAGCTCCGGACTTGTGCATGATGCCCGGGCGCACCAGAGCTTGGGAAATGGGTTACAGGTGTATCTGAGACACAAGTTCCTTGGCAGGGTGTGGCTGGGGGTGGGGCGGGGTGGGGCAGGCAGAGCTCATGGACCAGTTGTCTCTGCCTGGAACAACTCTATCCCTTTATTACACTGTCTGGTACAAATGTCATTTCCTAGGTGTACCATAATGTGAACAATTTAGGAAGTACTAGTCTATTAAATAACAGGAAATCATCTTCCAAAATCGAAAACTGCCATCTTCAGAGTCAACGGAAGCCATAAGATGTGCTTTACTTGAACAGCTTTTTCCTTTAAAAAGTTGAATTTTAACATCTTTGGGAAAGACAGGAACTCTCCTATTTGCCACAGGCTCCCACTTCCTCCAAAGGCAATTGAGTTTTCATCACTGGCCTATAAACTTTCACGGTTGTTTGGCCTCCTAGAACCAGACATCTGGAGACCCTATTTTTAAAATGTGTCTTGGAGAGTTTTGATGGCTTGATAAACGTGGGCTATGCAGCAGCCCCTGCAGACCAGTGCACAGAAATATTCTCGAGTGGTTCTGTTCACAGCTTCGGGTAGGGGCAAGGTGTCCCCTACTGACCCCATCCTCACACATGGTACCTGAGGTCCCCTCTCCTCACCCCAGGACTACGGAATGCACACTGTCCTCAAGTGATAGGGACAGTCCTCTAGCGTCCCTTCCTTCCTTCCTGGTTCTCCGGATGGGAGGTTTCAGTCCTTGCTCCCACTCTGAACGCTCCAAAGTCCTCCACTCCATCGCTCCGCTTTGTCTTCTCCCACGCCCACCCCGGCCCTAGCGTGTCGGAGAGCAGAAAGCCTCCCTTCGCGAGCGTGAGTCCAGATCTTACCTCCAGCGCATGCCTTGCTCTGGTGTTTGTCGGGTCTTTGTTTCTACATTGCTGGAGACAGAAGCAGATGGGACATTACATAAAAAATACACAGTGTAGATTGCAACCCTAATCCTACCACTCACCCTAAACCTCACCCATACCCTCACCCTAACCCTCACTCTAAACCTAACCCTAATCCTAACCCTAAAGAGAAACAAAACAAACACAGATAATATTTTGCAACATTTCTTTTTTTTTAATTGTAAAAATATTTATTAAACTTAAAGTCAGATTTGAACAAATGAAAAGACTTACTGTGTCCTTGGATGGGATGCCATAAAAAAGTCAATTTTCCCCAAATGACACACACACACACACACACACACACACACACACACACAATGTAATTGCAATTAGAATACCAACAGAGATTTAAAAAAAACAATTGTAATTAGAACCCTGGCCAATTTTGCTCAGTGGTTAGAGTAACAGTCCATGGACCAAAGAGACAGAGGTTCAAGGGCCCATACCTCAGTTTCAGTTCAGTCCCCCTACCCTGGTTGGGGTTTTGTGGGAGGCAACCAATCGATGTGTCTCTCTCACATTGATGTTTCTCTCTCTCCCCCCACCCCCAACTCTATCTGAAAATCAATAGAAAAATATCCTCGGGTGAAGATTAAAACAGAAATTATAATTAGATATGTCCATATGGAAGAATAAGTGCCCAAGTATAGCCAAATAAATTATGAAAAGGAAAAACAGTTGTCTAAAGAGAGAACAGAAGCAAACTGCTAATATCTCTATAACTTATGTAGTGAGTACTAAATGTGTATCACTATTATTATCGGTATCATTACTTTATGAAATATAAAAATGTTTCATAATTGAAAATAAAAGTTGAAAGACTGTGTATGAGTTAGAAATATATTCAGCTGCATATTTTAAAAACCTAAAATTGGTGGCTTAAAAAAAACAACAACTCTCACACATAAAATAAGTTCAAAAGTGGAGAGTTGGGGGCTTGTATGGTGGCTTCCTGAGCCATCAGGGACCCAGGCTCTTTTTCTCTATCTGCTCTGCTATCGTAGCACATGGCATCCACCCTCAAGACCACCTTATGGCATCAGTCATCACTTCTAAGTCCAGGATTCAGGAAAGAAAGGGAAGACCCTTCACTGAAACCCCACGCAAAACTTTTGCCCAAGCCTTGAGAAGTATTTAGTCCCATGGCTACACCTAAGGGCGATAGAGGCTGGGAAATGACTCTATTCCTGGGGCGTGCGCCCTGCTAACATTGATCTATTTTCTTCTCATGAGGTGTAGCTATGCTTTATGGGATGTTATTTGGTGTTATGGGAAGAAAACGAAAGGCTTAGGGGAATTTAGTGAAAATGTTTAGTTAACAGAGGAGTAAACAAAAAAAGCTAAACATTTTATTAAAATGCTCAATAAAATTTTTCCATTGTACGTGCAAGGCTTTTAGTATCGCATCCTTCATAGATGACAAGTTAGTTTTATGGGAATAACAAGAGGAAGCTTGGTTGCCAAATAGTGATTTTACTCTCATGACTCTCAGGAGAATCATTTGTTTATGAGAAAACCTGCAGCTGGACCTCAGCACAGGTATGTTTTGCTTGCTCTGCAGAGTTTTAAATTTTGTGAATTGTTTGCTACAATATTTTTAAAGTCATATTTCAGATGCCAATCCTTACTTCAGCTGTTTTGGACCAACTGGAAGATCTGGCCATCCTGGGCCAGAGCAGTGTGGCAGCCCCAACTGCAAGCTCGCTACCCCCCCCCCCCCCGGGGCCTGACCACTGCCTGCCGGCACCTGATTGTGCACGCCTTGCTTTAGGAGTTCACCACGAAGAGCTTTGCTCCCTGACCACTGGCCTCGTGTCCCAGGCAGTGTCAATGAAACTGATTGCTGCTACTGTGTGTCTACCACATCCTGCCATGGCTTTCTGGGTTAAACTTTAGGTCCTTTCTCCTCTGTGGACCTATGTCCTCTGTGGGCTACTCTGATTACACCATACACCAGGTGCTACTGTGCCAACTGAACGGTTACCATGGCCCTGAGTGTTCAGGTATGTGAGTGTGCCTGATGCATAGTAGGCGCTCAGTAAATGGGAGTTTTCTTCCCTTTTCTCTTAATACGGTGCCCCCTGCTGCTGGGGACAGTTGAGTTCTGGAAGAGGCTGGCTCGTCGCGTGAGCAGAATCACAGCACAACTCTCACCTACACAGAATGTGCGTGCTCTTGTGTAAAATCGTATTTTGAAAAATGCAGTCTTCTATCGCATCTCCCAGTTGGAAACTGAGAGTGTGTTTGAAACTCTTTTATTCCTAATTCACTTATTCTGTGTCAGGAAAGCGGCAGAATCAGTTGACATTTACTTTCTCCATTTGGGCACTTAAAATCTACTGTCATCAAGGTCTACCTTTACAAATACAGTTTTCAGGACGCCATTGTTCTAAATCAAATGACAACTTCCCATCAGAATTCTTGAGCCTGAAGGCTAAATTCAGATAGAAGCAAATGTATAAAGGTGTGGTTCAATCAAAATGTTCCTCTCGTTGTTACAACATTCTTATTACTATAGTTGAATGAAACAGAGAGGGGATTAGGACACATTTTTATTAACAAGTTATTCATTTACATTTTTATATGTCAGCCAAGAAATACTCACTCTGACAGTTCAGGATTTGTCATAAGACCTAGAAATATTATTTTGGAATTTGTGGGAGAGACACAAAATGGCTGAGTACTCGATGTATTTCGGAATGTACTTTTAACCTCCTGGGAACAACAGGCCTGCAGGAAGCCAGAGTCCAAGTGTCCCCCAGTGCTGAACTGTTTGCATTTGGTCTAGGGGAGAGACAGATAAACAAACTTTATTTTTTGAAAAGTTCTCCAGAATCTTTCATATCCAGGCGAGAGATCTAGTCCTTATTTTAAGAACCCACCCAAAAGGTGTGCAGACCACAGCTGCATGACCACCTACAGTGACAGTCACCACTACAGCAGCGTTCTGAGGTTACAGGAGTTCTGTCTTTGGAGGTGCCCATAATCCTTCTGTGCGTCTTTTCTTTTTCAGTATAATCAAGTGTACAAGAACCTAAAGGAGTTTTCTCAAAATGGAGAGAATTTCTGCAAGCAGGTCACATCCATTCTTCAGCAAAGGTACAAAGTGTGTGTTTTCAATAAGCAGTTCTTCCTCTTTAGCTGTGGCAAGTGATGGGACCGGAGCCGTGAATACGAGCTGCCCTACTTTCCAGAACGCACTGTTATATTTTGGTCCTTGAGAGATTGGTTTGAAGAGTGATTCTTCTCTATTGCACATCTATCACCCGGGTACCATAAAAGTCAGGACACAGCAGGATGTAATTCTGCTTGTGAAGGTCCAGTCAAGTCTTTTCTGATTCCTCAGACTGAGTTTATCACCCCTTGCTGGGGCTCACCGATTTTCCTGATGTATATGCCATGGCTGTGCTCACACTGAGAGCAATTATTAGCTGATGTATCTGTCTCCCTTATGAGGGTGGAAGCTTTGTCTTACCTTTGTATGCTGCACTTTTACAACCTGGCCTTTTGACCTCTTCTGTAAATGTTCGATGAATGATTAGAAAAGTCATTCTAATCATCCATTGTTCTAAGGGGTGAAAAGAGAGCCATCATTTTCAGTACCATCTTCTTTTAATACTAGATGTGATCACCTGTAAAGCTGCTCACTGTGCTGAAATGAGCACACTTAACTCAGTTAAAAGGTTACAAACATGTATGCTTATAATTAGAGAACCTTCCCAGCTGGTGTGGCTCAGTGGATTGAATATCCTTCCACGGACTGAGAGGTCCCACTTCGATTCCCAATAGGGGCACGTGCCCGGGTTGTGTGGGCTCAATCCCTAGTGTGGGGTGTGCAGCAGGCAGTCCATTAATGTTTCTCTTTCACATTGATGTTTCTATCTCTTTCCCCTTCTCCCTTCCTCTCTATCTAAAAAACCGATACAAATATATTTTTTTAAAAAGTAGAGAAGCCAAGGACTGAATTGGCCATAAAGACGTAGGCCATTTTCCTATGTCTAGGTAGGTCAGTAATAAACAACTCTAAAGAGACCTTCAGATTAGATTGTTGATCCTTTTTAAGGTAACTCATTTCAACTTTAAATGATTGCATGCGTACCATAGGAACAGGCACGTGGGCTGATGACACCCCGCACTGGTAGGTCAGGAACAGAGGAGAACACTAGCTTTACCAGGGCCAAGGGAGAGCTCAAGCAGATTCTTGTAAAGAAAAGAGCCAGCTTTGTCAAAGTCAAAAAGAAAAAATTCTTAAGTGAGCAGTTGCTTCTTGCTTTGATTCTGTGAGAGGAATAGGGAAGACCAATCTGGGAGAAAAGTTCTTCTATAAGAAAGTATTTTTATCAGTCTCAAAGGAATTTATTTAAAATAAGACCCGTTAACTATTACACGAATTCAACCCATTGCCTAGGTTAGAGAGCACCTCCCTCCCGCAGATCAGGAAGAATCAGGACATGTTATTAGCTATGCATGGGATCTGGGTTGCAGTCATCTGGACCTTGATTATTTGGTGTCCCCTGTTCAACATTAGCACCTGCTAGAGAGATGTAAAGACAGAAGAGAGGTGATGAATTACGCTCAGCAAACAGACTCAACAATGAACTGAACAAATTTGGGGGAATCACTATTCCAAAACTGCCTTACCCAGGTCTCTCTGCATCTCCACCCTGCCACAGATGTATCTACGGTGCATGGAGTCAGAACGCTCTTTCTTACACGTGTCTCTGTTGAAATTGCTTCCTAGGGTTCCCATCTGTCCCAGACCTATTCAGGTGCAAAACCCTCCACCCACATATTCCAGAGAAGCAAACAAGCAGCAATGAAGGAGAAATAGTTGGGTACCTAAAGGTATCTTTTTTTATAGTTTCACTTCCTTATGGAACAGATTTTAGAATTGGAAAATCTGAAGCATACTACTTGTTAGCAAAATTACATGCACATCTGTGGGATAAAAGCCACACAGCACCAATATGAAAAGGGAATCTAGTGTTTTACTCAGACCAAAAAACTATCTTAATATTAGGTCATTTGTGTAATAGATACTTTCCTGAACATTTTGTAAAGCTTGCCTTGTACAACTAACTTATTTTCCCTTAACCAAGATGCCATTTTTGAGTTGCTTTGTACGTACACTTGGCAATGTCTTCTTATGCTTGAAATTTGCTCAGCTGTTTGATCATGTAGTTAACCTGAAGGATGTTCATCCACATGAAGAGTTGGTATTTTGGGAGAACTGTTTTCTGAGGAACACAAACCCTATTAATCTATGAATATGTGGCACATTGTTTTTAGAAGATATTCCTACATGTCAGCTGAAAAGGACAGAGGCCACCACATGTGCCAGGGTTGGGCCATTTCTTTCCCATGGGAAGTGATTCTGAACTGACCTCTTCCTATGGTCCTATGGAGGAGTGATCACAGCACAACTGATGTTACACTTGCCTTCACTCTCCCCGTTCTGTGGATTCAGTGACTATTTCCCTAGATATGCAACAGGTAAAAAGCTGTTTCCCACCAGCTATCCAGACATGAGCTTTGGGCTTCTTTTCCTCTTAAATGAGTCGACTTATTACATATGAATTAATGATATCTTTCCCTTGTGTTGGAAAAATACCTGGAACACCAGTACTCTTTAAAAGAAACTATCCCGATATTTAGAGTATAGACAAATAAAGCTTACTCTTGGAAAACATGGGAGGCATTTCTACTGAGGGGTATGACATAGAAAATAATAAAGGCGTATCCAGTGGCCAGCTTCATGAAAGATATGGGGCTTCTCTGAATTACGGGTACCTGCCACATCAAATGCATTCAGTAAATACTTGTAGCTTGAGTGAATAAATAAATGAAAGATGGCTAAGGGTTAATTTTCTTACTATTACTAACACATCATTGGAACAAGGTCTTTACTGTCCTTGGAACGTGGTCTGTTTCAGCTCATGGTTCAAGAGACAGCATCACAATCAAGCCTGTGAGCTCAGAGAATCTTTCATTTCCATGCTCAGCTGCCCTCTTGCATTTGTTCTAATTGGTGGTGATAGAAAAATGCAGTTGTTACTGAAACACCATTTTTCCTGGAAATTTTGCAATTCATGGTCATGCTTAGTTTCTTTAATCCAGTTAGTTGCTTCAGTGTCCTTTTTTTTTTTTAGTAGCAACTCAGATTTATCCAGAGACATGCAGCAGCTCCTAGAATGCCTCATGCCAAAGTCATTGGGTTCACTTTAACACAATTACAGATCAGATTTTCAAAGACAAAGACACATTCCCAGAAACGATGAGGATTTGGTTCCCTGAACCTTCACAGCTAGTTTTTAAACAGGCTTTGATGGGCAAATCAATTGTTCCTCTGAAAGCTTAAGATCAGGTTTTCAAAAGGCAAGTACCACTGCCCTGGACATTAAATAAAACAAAGAAATAAAAAAACAAAGAAGAAAGTGTAGTTGGTCATTGTTCCATCTATGATTCATTGCAGATGTTGTCAACAAAGGAATAAATGATGACACGGAAATCTTTGGTAAACCCTCCCCTTTTCTACTCCACCCGTAGCCTAGGTGATCTTAACTCCCACAGCTCTTTTTTGCATGTTGATGACACCCACATGTATATTACTAGACAATATGTCTTACCTGTGCTTCAAACCATATATCCCACAGTCTACTAGACACTTTCATCGAGGTGTCCCATGAAGCCATGAAGTCAGCCTATCCAAATCAGAGTCTATTAGCTTTCCCCCAAAGCTGGTGCCCCTGGATTTTTTTGCCATGGTGATCGGGACCACTGCCTGCCCAGTCAGGCCCAATACCCGGGAGTCACCCATGATTCCTTCTTCCATCTCAGCTACGACCAAGTCTTCATATTGCTCTTTTCTAAACACCTCCTGTACCTTATAGCTTTCTTTTCATTGCCTCTGCCATTGTTCTGGCAAAAATATCTTACCCCTTTCTTCTGTGTAGGGGACTGCCTGGCGGCTGGGCAGCTTGTACACTGCACAAAGGCTCCGGGCTGAGGGGCCTAGTGAAGGCAGAAACTGACCCATTCTCAACCCTTGAGTCTTGCACCCTGGCTCAGAGCTGTGTCTCTTCACAGAATCTTTTTTTTCTAATCCAAGCAAAATTGCCTCATCGAGGGAGCTGGTTAGGGCTCTATCTCTGTCTCTAATTCATCTTCCAGTTTATTGCCATGACCCTGTTTAGGACCCTTCAAAGACTCCCATCACCTTCAGTATAAAATTCAGCCCACATAGTATTTTATAGAAGAGATCGGGTCCTTCCTTCATTGCAAGTCTGTCTCTCTCCATTTCCCCATGACCCATGTTCCTCTCCATCTTTCTGAAACACTTGCAGTCATTCCCAAAGGGTCCCTGCCATCCCTCCCACCCACTCCTACCCCTCATCATGGGTCCCTGCCTTTGTGCAGGCTACATCCTCTGCCTTGTAGACACTTCTTCACTATCAGTGACAGGCTCCAGTCAATCCTTAGCATTCAGTCATCCCCTTTTAGGGGCCTTCCTTGACACCAGCCCCCAGTCTCAAAAAAGTGCTCCTCAGAGATGTGTAGAGCTGGTGCTTACCTCTGATACAGCTCTTACCGCCTACATCGTTGTTCTCTGTCTGGCACAGAGCAGGCAGCTGTTCAATAGAAATATTCACTGAGTGGACAAAGGCATTCATGTATAAGGGACTCTGTACCTTCAGGCACTCACAACTTTTAAGATGCTTAAGTTAGGTTATTTCTGAAGAGCAATAAATGAGTGTGTCAAAAAATTTTCTTACATAGTACATAGAATATTATTTTGAATAGAAGGTGGAAAAGAATAATAAAATCACAGAAGAGACCATTTACCTCAGCCCAACCCCGGCTCCATGTAAGGGCACCTTCCAAGTGGACAGGCAGTTTGGAACACTGCTGTGGGATGCCCATCATTCTCAGTGGGTCCTTTTAAGGTCCTCCGTGGGTAGGAGCATCAGCGGCCATCAAGCCCAGTGGCTTTCAAACTTAGTAGCACACCAGTCTGTGGGGACACTTCACAGGGAGAGATGGTTAAGTGGGCGGGGCTCAGCTCCCACCTCCTGCTCCCACTTAATTAGAACATAGTATTT